CTCCCGTACACATGGTACACCCGGACCCAGCTCGGAGTTGACCCCGCCACGTGTGGATCGCTTGCCGAAATTTGAAGAGATGAGTGAGGATTCGGACGCCACATGGCGACTCATCACCTCCACCAAACCCACAGCGAAGAAGAGAGTCCTGTTTGTCGGAAATCTGATGCATGCAATTACTGCAGATCAGCTGAAGGAGTTCATCGCAGCAAGAGCAGCTGAGGCTGACCACAATGTCCAAGTGTTTGACGTAAAAATATTTCAAAAAGAAAAATCCTCCACTGCGCGTATTGTTGCCAGTGCAGCGGACGAATCGTTTCTCAGCAACAAGCGCTTCTGGCCAAGGCCTGTGTACACAAGAGAGTGGAACTTCGATAAGTACACCCAGTCTGATGCCAGTGGAGATCAACAAACAGCGCAGAGCAGCACCACGACCACCAACAGCAGCAGCAGCCGCACGGACGACAGTAAGAGCGAATACGGCGTGGATTGCGATATCCTAGATGACACCTGTGGAGCACCGGCCCGGACTCCAGGCCAGAAATCACGGGGCTATCAGCGTGACTCGCCGCCCGAGACGCAAGCTGCGAAGTTTAGTGTCACTGTTGGCAACGCATTTGCATCTCTAAGTCAGGATGTGGATAATATATCTGTGCAATGACTGGAAGAAGATTAGGCAACGACCCTGCTGCTCATGAGCTGAATATGCAAACGCAAACTCCAACAATTCGAATTTTACTGCTGAACATTAGGAGCCTGAGGAACAAAGTTGGAGAGCTGGCATGGCTTGCCGACCTTCACAGTCCTGACATCATCTGTGTAAACGAGACCTGGCTACAGTCCGTTTCAAAAAGATTTGCAATCCTGGCGATCGCCCGCGGAGTTTGGCGTCTTACCGTATGAGCACTCGAGCGCTGCCTGGAAAAACTCACTGTGAACTCGAAGAAATATTCCGCGCGAAAGCAGGAAAAATGACAACTCACTCACGTTGATACAGTCATGTACCATGTGTACGTCTGGTTTGCAACAAACGAGTTCTTCCTCGTATCGATAATGGAGTCAGAGAGGACATGTCGAAACGAAAGTGTTGTAAATGTTGACGAGCGGCATGAGTCCCAATTCGTTTTGTGACCAAAATAGTTTCTTTGAGCTGCGATGCAATTTACTCACCGTATGACGAAAACGACATCGACACGGACTCATTCCCAAGGCGACTTGGCAAAGCTATCCGTGTGACTTCGACGACATTTTGAGAAAAGCAGACGCGTGTGAACTCTGATAGAAGGCGGCGTTGACTGCTAAATTCAAATAAATTGGCGATCTTGAAATACTAAAATAAATCTCAAAAAGCTACAGTGCGATGACTTCCATTATAATTCACTCACACCATTGCAGTGTTGTGGGTGTGTTCGCATGGCGTGAGCCAGTCAAGTGTCAGTCAGTTCGGCAGGAAGCGCGAGCTCCAACAACAAGTCGTTTGGTGCAGCCATCTTCTTTGTCTTGTACCAGCTTGATCACCAAAACAATGAAAAAAAAGTTTGACTTGAGAGGTTCGGATTTGAACTCACAACTTCATGGTCAGCAGACAGCATTCATAACCACAACGCCAAAAAGGAAAGGATAAATCGTGGGTTTTGATAAAAAATCGATACTGGCTTCCTGGGCAAATTGTAAACCATGGGAAAAGGCCGGAAACCTGGCCGAAATTCTAACTCCTTAACGGTTGCTCCAATTGTTCCGAAACCTTCACAGAACAATTTGCCTTGTCCTAACAAGCCATTCTATGTACTTTGTTGTCCAAATTTCCCTTATCTTCATACTTTTTAAGACCCAAACCTGATTGTAAATCTTTTTGAAACAGACTATAGACGACACCGTGTCTGATGGAGAGATAGCTTTGGATGGCTTCAACATACTGCGCTCAGACAGAAAAGATCAGGCCGGTGGAGGAGTCTGCCTGTACTCCAAGGCATCCCTCCTGGTCAAGCCGAGAATGGACCTCACAGAATCGGCAATTGAGAGCTGCTGGGGAGAAATCCATTGCCAATCTGGAACTTGTTTGATAGGAACCATTTATCGACCTCCATCTGAGCCAGTTCGATACTGGGACTGCCTGGACGACCATCTCCATTCAGCTATAATGCCCGGGAAGAACGTGATTATTTGTGGCGACATCAACATAAACACCAATCCAACAGCACCTCCAGATCCACAGCTTCATTATCTATCTGACCTTGTGGCCAGCTACAGTTTATATCCCGGAGTTCACCAGCCGACTCGGTTCTCAGCAAACTCTGCACCAACCACACTGGATCAATTTTACAATACATTCGACCCTCTAAATATGGCTACTGTTATCCCCATCGCGTTCAGTGACCATGCAGCAGTTCTCAGTGAATTTCAACTCAGCCCAGTAAGAAGTACTGTAACTTCAGGGCTACGGCGACACTACCGAAACATAAATCATGACCAGTTCAAGGCAGATTTGGTCCAACAGGATTTTTGTGAAATTGACGGAAGCCCAACTGTCATGTGGACTGAGTGGGCCAGCCGCTTTCTACAAGTGTTAGACAGACATGCTCCTCTTGCACCAAGCCCTCGACGCAAGAAAAAATCAGTACCATGGATGAACCGCCAGTTATTACACCTCTTGACCAAGCGCAACCGGCTCCATAGGAGGTGGCTTAGTGATGGAACAGAACATTCCCACTCAGCTTTCAAGGCTGCCAGGCGGGAAGCTACCAGCTATAATAGGCAACAGAAAGAGACCTACTACCAATCCAAGTTTCGAGCTGCGTCTGGCAATACCAAACAGACATGGCACACGATCAAAGAATTGAGTGGTAAACATCGACAATCTCAGCCACCTCAATGTTCTGTTGATGCCATCCGAAACACCTTTGCAGAGATAGTAGAGGACGCCAGCCGCCCAGTGCATCTCTCATTTCCCTACGGGCCCGCCTCAAGCACTGATCTGACAGCCTTTGCGCCAGTGTCTATTGCCAGAGTGAGGAAGCTCCTCGAACGTTTAAATCCGGCCAAGTCCAGCGGTGACGATGACATTTCTGCAGCCCTTCTCCGCGCACATGCAGACGTACTGGCGCCATCCCTGACTTTGATTTTTAACAAGTCCCTGAGAGAGGGCGTATTTCCTGCCCAGATGAAAAGTGCTAGGATATCGCCACTCCTCAAAGGCGGAGATCCGAGCATGCCAAAGAATCATCGACCAGTGTCATTGT